CTCTGTGCATATATCGGTGGATAGATCTGTGTACCCTCATAGTGGTTGGCCATGTGCATCCTCCCAGTGGGTGGCCATGTGCATCCTTCCAGTGAATGGACCTTTGCATCCTCCCGGTGGATGGATCTGTGCACCCTCTTCAGGCTTCAAACACACACACGCGCTTCATGACCACTGAGAGGTGAAGTGAGTAACAAATACAATGGCACCTGGGAGTGGGGAGGATATATTACAATGGCACCCGGAAGTGTGTGTGTGTGTGTGTGTGTGGGGGGATATATTACAATGGCACCTGGAAGTGGGGGGGGGGGATATATATTCGGCAGCAAGTGAACTTTTTGTCCCTGAGTTTGATGTGTTGGAAGCAAAAAACATGACCAAGGATTTGAGCGACTTGTCAAGGACCAAATTGTGATGTCTAGACAACTGGGTCAGAACAACTCCAAAACTGCAGCTCTGGTGGTATTTTCCCGGTCTGGACCGACCAAAAGTTGTCCAAGGAAGGAAAACGGCGAACTGGTGACAGGGTCATGGATGGCCAAAGCTCATTGATGCACCTGGGGGATCGAAGGGTAACGCATGTTGTCTGATCCAATAGAAGAGCTACTGTAGCTCAGATTGCTGAAAAAGTTTTTGATGGTTCTGATAGAAAGGTGTCTGAACTCACAGAGCATCGCAGGTTGTTGCATATAGGACCTGTGCACTGTCAAAAGTGCCTACAATGGGCACGTGAGCGTCAGAACTGGACCACCGAGCAATGGAAGACAGTGGCCTGGTCTGATGAATCACGTTTTCTTTTACATAATGTGAATGGCCGGGTGCGTGTGTGTCGCATACTGGGGAAGAGATGGCACCAGGATGCACTATGGGAAGAAGAAAAGCCGGTGGAGGCAGTGTGATGCTTTGGGCAATGTTCTGCTTGGAAACCTTGTTTCCTTTCATTCATGTGGATGTTACTTTGACATGTATCACCTGCCTTAACATTGTTGCTGACCAAGTACACCCCTTCATGGAAACGGTATTCCCTGAGGGCAGTGGCCTCTTTCAGCAGGATACTGAGCCCTGCCACACTGCAAAAATGGATCAAGAATGGTTTGAGGAACACAACAACAAGTTTGAAATGTTGAATTGGGCTACAAATTCTCCAGATCTCAATCCAAGTGAGTATCTGTGGGATGTGCTGGAGAAAGGATTCAAATCCATGGAGGCCTCACCTAACCTCTTACACAACTTAAAGGATCTGCTACTGATTAGTTGGTCCCAGATACCACAGCATACCTTCAGAGGTCTAGTGGAGTCCATGCCTCCATTGGTCATTGCTGTTTTGGTGACAAAAGGGGGACCTACTTAATATTAGGCAGATGGTCATAATGTTATGGCTGATATGTGTATATACGTGTCTGAGCATTTTCAGAATTTAGAGGGCCTGCATGAAAGATCATAAGCTGGACCCCTTCCTTAAGACGATATGCTACATCACTCTTTTCTCTGGGTGCTTAGCAGCGTGTATGCAGTCAGAGCCAGTCACTCAAACCATCTGTGTCCAGACTTGGTCAGAGGTATTGATCATATGATCAGTGCCAGCCATTGATTTTTGCACAATAACCACCAGTGCCCTTCATCCCTCAGACCTTTAGATTGCATGCTATTACTTGGTTGTATTTGGAATTGTTGGTGGGCAGTGCGGTGAAAAGGTCATTCAGTGGCCAAGGTGCAGGTGCCAAGCTACACTCCTGCTCCCAGGAGGAGCATGGGGTGGGGAATTGAAGAGTTTAATGTTACCAGTGGTGAAGGAGAAAATGCCCCGGCATTTGTGTGAGGAAACATGCTCTGGTGTCAGTGGTATCACCGGAGCGAAACACATGCCGCTGCATTGGTGGTGTCACTGGAAGGAAAAATGCCCCTGCGTTGGTGGTGCCACTGGAAGGAAAACATGCCCCTGCATCAGTGGTGTCACTTCAAAAAATGCAGCTGCATCTGTGTCGTAGGGACAAAATGCTGCTTTGTCAGTGGGAGGGAAAGATGCTACTGCGTTGTGGTTTCTGACGGTGAATGGGATAAAGGAGGGGAGCTCGGGTTCCTGTAGGGTGCATTTAACTAAAGAGCCCTTTGTGGCTGTAGGGGTGAGAGGGGTGGTAGGGGGGTTATGAGGCTCTTTGGGTCCTTCAGTGGTTGAGGGGAGTGCTCTCCCCACCATCTCTGTAGTCACAGGTCAGACCTCCTTCTCATCATGGCACTTGCTTGGGAATGGAGGCAGCTTCTTCTTCCTGGCTTTGGTCATATGATATGTCACATGACAAGGGGGTACAGGAAGAAGGGCAGTCTGCCCTCTCTGGCGGGTGGCCATACTGAGAAGGAGGTCTGTTTTCAGCGGGTGCCCGCTCCTTCTGCTCTCTTCCGCCCCCAGTTGGTTGCCGATGGAGGGAGGAGAGAGCAGAGTCCTCCCTCCAGCAACTATCGTGGCCCTTGCTTTGCCTGACAGGAGTGATGCTGCCATCGCATCTGTCTATAAGGCAGCTGTAGAATGGAGCACCAGCAAGTTCTGAGTGTCCCCCCTTTGGCCCAGGCACCCCCTGCCTCGGCCCTGCGCAAATGAGTGCAGTGAGTGCACAGTGGGTGCCTGACTCCTTGGGACCCGTTTGCACTGCACCCATTAGGGACACGCCGATGATTTATATGCAATGAATGTAGGTAGGTTTATTTAATCTGTGCTGTCCTTGGATAGGAAGCTGGTTGAAAGTGGTTGATAATGTGAGAAAATTGTGCTTGTGTATGGGCAGCATTAGGGTAGGACGGGTTTTCTAGCAGTGCTATTCAAGGTAACTCTAGGAAGAAACACTTAACAATCTTTTACATAATGCATTTTATACACATGTTTTATATGACCTATAATCAGAACTTGTGGAATGCTTGTATAAAAAAGGACTGCGTTACTGTATCCTTGAAGTGTTACATTAAAGAAGAGCTGGGCATATTAAACGATAACGCTTGTAGTGGGGCCGCAGTGGGGCCATCCTGCACTGGAAGGGTTATTTGCTAATTTTGGTCTAGGGTCTCAAATAAAGAAGATATACTCACCCGATCCTTCGTATTGCGTTGGTGACTATTCACCTCTTTCCCCCTCCTCTCTGGCTGTGAACTGTACCTCGCCATCCTCCCATTCAATGCAAGTCAATGGATGTGATGATGTCACGGGTCATTAGACCGCCAGAGCCGGGGGAAGAAAAGGCTGTGGGGACCAGTGTAGCAGCCAGGTGGGACCGAGGTTCTGACCCTCAAGGTTAGGATTGAAGGTTAGGATTAAGGGAGAGGGTAGGGTTTTAGTTATGAGTAAGGGTAGGGGTAAGGTAAGGTTAAGGTTTAGAGGTTAGAGTCAGGGTTTGGGTTGGGGTTAAGGGTTAAGGTTAGTGATGGTTAATCCCCTAAGTGTTAGGGGATTAGCAAGGGTTAGAGGGGGGTTAGCTCAAGGGTAAGAGCTAAGGGTGGAGGGCGTTAAGGTTTAGGATTAA